TAAATCTTTACATGATCCAAAACAAATAATGAATAGAAGTTGCACACAAGGTCAGGAAAATGCCAATAAAATCAAAGGGTACTACCACACCAGTATGAGTATTACTAGGAACACAGGAAGATAATAACATCGCTTTTGAGTATCACAGAACGGTGTGTAAAAATATAGCATTACTAAAGGCATAGAATTAAATTCTAACACTTCAGTGATGTGCAGCATTAGAAACAACATGCCGCTGTAATATTTGCAATTAGAGATCTGTGGAAAATTTACATGGTGAGCTGATGCTCATACATAATTTATGTAAGCAGGTACTATACATGTAAAAAGATATAGTATGTGCTTTTACAATTAGTATGTCGTAACAACTTATTATTTTAAATAACGGTTATATATCAATCAATATAGGTATTTTAAACAAGTAAAATGCATTTGCCTAAATTTTGAATGAGGTATTAGAACTGGTAAATAAAATTGATTTCAAAAATGGAAGAGAAAATAATTCTTCCAACTTTCTTAAAACTTTAGAAGTTATTTCTGTATTTTTTTCTGTTGTAGGTGGCATCTTCACCACACTTCACAGTAGTGCTATTCATGACTCAAGATCCAACCTTGTAGTAATTCAACTTTTATGCCACATCATACGTTATAGGCGCATACTCATGTACCCTACGCATTAAAAAGTGACTTAGCTTCAGTTGGGCAGGTTCAGTAAAAATTCCTGCAAGAGAATGGTAACATCTATTATCCAATGATGGATTCAAACACCACCTACATATTAAAATGTATATGATAATAAGAGTTATTCTATTTAGAAATACATCTCTCTTACAGATTTATCAAGAAATCAAGGAGGTATAAACAGAAATACATAAAGATCCACTGACATGCACAACCAACTGCTTTACAGCTTGGTTACAATCAAAATAACGAATGTGTAAAAAGCACAATTTGCTTAACAAAGCTGCTTGCCACAAATGCAAGCATTTGTTTATATATAAAAAAGACCTTAAGTCAAAAGAGTTTGACACAGAAGTAAGAACAAAACATGGTAGCGTGCTCTGCAGTGCTGATACCACGTGGAGAGATCTCCAAGGACTGAGGACCACAACGTAAATATCTTTATAAAATGAGACTGCATGGTTGACAGACTCACTGTCTGTGAGTCCGTTTACACACCAAAACATACACCTACAACATCTTCTTACAGCATAAGCAGTAGTTCCAACCTTCTCAGGTAAATAATTACTGATCACCCTGTGGTCTGTTTCAAATGTGCACTGCTCTCAAAGTACAGCAACTTTAAAAAAAATGGATACTTATAATTTATATGGTCTTGGGCTCTCAAATCCTTTGTCTCCTTTCTTCCTATTCATCCTGAACAGCAGCACTGAACACACACTGCTGACCGTCAGACCGGCATCAACATCATCGTCGTTTGACGGGTCGTTCGATTTTTCCCTGTGTCAGGCCGTATTTGATTACTCATCTCCCCAGCGGATCTGCGACTCCCAACAGTCAGGCATCCTCAGCTCGAATAAGCACCATAGTCATAACATAAACAACGTTCAGTCTTTCTATATAACCTTTCCCGAGCGCACGATACCACTTCACAGGCGCTGCGTGCTTCCTTTCCAGAGGAGCCGCGTAAATCAACCGGCTCCACGGGCAGTGGAAGTGGGAGCTACTGAATCGGGAAGGCCGCGGCCGGGGGCGGCTG